TACAAGTGAAGAAATTACTTCTGCTAGAAAAAGATTCAAGTTTGCTCTGGCCTGCAACATCCAACAGATGAGAGTATTTAGCTACCACTTGTTTCTGTCAGATACACAGTGTTCATTTCCTCCCTTCATGGTTCTGCTGGCAACATGGGCAAAGAGCAGTAAGTAGCCACATACCAGTTCTGAAAACATTAATCATCAGGAGAAAGCTATTTTAGGTTTCTTGGGTAATATTTACTTGCAGATGATGCAACTGTAAGCTATTGATTCAAACACCCATAAAGGATATATTTAATGTTAATTTTAAGGTTAAAAGGTATACAGACTATCTTATTTTTACTTTAGAAAACACAAAAATGTTTATGGCAATTGCTCAGACTTTTGTAGTTTTTATTTTGGTTTTAGTTTATTCTTGTCCAAAAATAAAAATAAAAATCTCATGGTAACCAGTTAAATGTATTACTGAAACAGAATAATATATTGTATGGATAGTAAAGTAGCAACAGCTTTAACTTGATTTAAAACTGTTCCCGTATTTTTCTGAAAATCAGACACAGATATTCTCTTAACTTTGTGACTAGAAATTGGATGAAAAGCTGTTTGAAAAATCATTTTCCAAGAGCACTCAGATGTCCCCCACCAAATGGGAAGAGCACATACTTCCAGGTTCAAGAGCTCACATCTTTCTTCACACTAGACAAGGTTGTAGAGAAGTGATTCCAAGCTTGGGAGGATCTTCCCTCCCAAGAAGGATTGGGAGCACCTTGGAGGACAAAATTATGATTCAAGATAATTTTGATAAGTGGAAGGAGTGGTTTGAAAATAGGATGCAGTTATGTAAGTATAGCTGCAAAGCAGGAACCTACAACAGTACAATTATAAGATGGGAACAACTGAGTAGGCAGCAGCTCTGCAGAGAAAGATAGAGAGCTACAGTGAATCACAGACTGCATGAGTCAACAATTCTAGGCTGAGGCAGAAATGGCAAACATCATATTTTAGTGAATAAATCGGAGTATTATAGGTTGGAAACATGAAATAATTTTTCAAATTTACCTTGTATTGGTAATGGTTTAGCTGGACCAACAGATCTAGATTTAAGTACAGAGCTCATGTAAACCAACCACAGGAAAAAATTATACAAAAAACCAACCAAGAAAAAAAAACCCAAAACAAACAACCCAAACGCCTAAGAAACATACAGAGCAAAAAAAGTTTGACCTACCAAAAAGAAAAAAAGTCTGTTTTGTCTAAGCAATATAACAGACATTGCTTTTATTGTATGAAAGGGGTTACAAAAACGTAACATGCCCATCATTCTCAAAAGCACCAGGAAGAGGGCAAGTAATGGCTTAACAAGGGACCAAAAGACATCAAAATTCTGCTCAAACATATAAAAATAAACAAGGTCCAAACTGACTAAAAGACATGCTGTTGAAAGTCTATAATTAGTGATTTTCAAAAAACAGGCTAAACAAACATCTGTCAGGAATGATGTATATTTAGCTCAGCCTGTCTTTAGGAACATGGATGAATAACAAATTTTTCAGGCACATTTTCTATTACTACAGCAGACTGAGAAGGCAAAAACTTCACATTCCAAAATAGTGAAACACACTTCTGGTACTTTAGAAATAAAAAGAGCACAGACTACCACAACATCAAGACATTTTTCAACTTATTTCTATGAAGTAAGTCCCATAATACTTTTAAGTTGAAGGTTATAGTGTCTATACAGTTCACCCAGTTCTTTGGGAAGAAATTTTCTATACTGAAGAAGTTAACTGCCAGCATTGGGAGACAAGGCTGAAATTAAGTATTTGCAGATTTAATTTCTAAAGTCAAACATTCCCTCTTTCATACTTCACACTTGTTAATTTTCTCCCTTTCAGTTACTGCAAGTTGTGTCACTTAAACAATTTGATTATTACAAAACATTTAATCTGACATGTCCTAACACTGATATAAAATCCTACACACCCTCAACATTTAAATATGAATTCCTTCTTCAATTAGTATTTCTTAAACAATTCTTCATACAAGATGCCTTCAACATGACTGTTAATACATTCTTACTCTCCTGTGACACCTCACTAATAGGACAACTTCTTTTGACCTGCCTGTGTTGTAGGTCAGACTCTACACTTGCATTTTAACCAAGGACAATAGCAAGAGACAATTTTTCTCTGAGTTTTTAGAGCCGGGTATCAATGAAACACCAGAAGTCATTAGAAATGGTAATGAACAGTACCTATTCTAAGTATTTTTCAAAGCAAATGCACAACACATAGTCAAGCTGTATCCACAACTCTGATTGTATTGAAATATGGTTTCAAGACTGTGAAAGCCATCCACTGAAAGATGCACCCTTTGATACATAAAGAATTGGATTTCTTTAATGGATACATGATTGTAACAACCTATGCTTTTCCTTAATGAAAGTGAACTGCATTACTTTGTTTCATAGGGAAAAACCCTTCACCTTCCCCTGCAGCCGTAGGGAACTTCAATACTTCAAGCATAAAAAAAGAAAAAATGTGGCAGCCATAAACACACTAATCAGCCTCTGTGTTTCTCTGTACAAATGTATATAGCAATAGTTAGAAGACATGACTGAGGCTGTGATTTATTCCTAAGAACTAAAATAATTTAGCCAACCCAAACTTCCTTCCTTCTTGGAAAAGGTGAAGGTCAGTTTTTCTGTTTCACTCCAAGGATAAAGGTAGCATTTGTACTGCAGACATGCAAGTCCTGAATACTGTCTTTCCCTACTTCAGCCAAACTTTTCTTCGACATTTCTAGTTACATTAACCAAGTGGAAGAACTGGGACCAGAAACACTACAATGAACTGGGACCACACACTACAAATGTGTGTGCTTACCTCTCTTCCTTCTGTTACATTACTGCAGTGACTAGAGAGCAGATGGAGCAATTATTCCCCCTGATCATGTTTTATTTGAGCATCTCAGAACAACCCCAGTCATGAAAGAGTCAAGGAATTTGTTTTGGATGACACTTTTTATAAAAAGTAGCAGAAAAGTTCCCTGCAAGTGGCTTTACACATGCAATAGAAACTCAACCAGCATGAGCCAAGACATTTCAACCATAGGTTGGGAATCTGTCAAACTCCAGTAGAAAAAAGTTTTCAGGTTAGAAGGCTGGGTTACATAATTGCACAAGCATTGTACACTCAGAATCCTATGAGTAAACCCTATGGAACCAAGCTACCTAAAAATATAATGATCTCTGAAAATGTTCAATTAGGTACTTCCAAGAATTTTCCCTACTGTTTTACCTCTCATACCTGCATAGCTAATAAAGCTATGCTAATTAGCTATCAAAATATTATTGGTCCAGATTTCACAAAGAAAAACAAGTAGAGTTTACTGACAAATCTTTATATGGAAACAATATTTTGATATTTTCTTTCTTTTTAAAGTGATGCACTCACTGAAATTTCACTAGATTCAAGCACTTTAAAAGTGACTTTTTGAAGCATTGCATCAAATATGAGCTCCCAGAAGCGTGTCCCACAAAGACGTGCTAAATACATCCTAACCCGGGCTAAATACATAACAGCACCCTGGCCCTAAATGTAAAAAGTGCAATACTCCATAAGAAGGAAACTTTTCCTGTTATTTTTAAAATAAACAACGGCAAAAGTAATGATTGTTGATACCTACCTCACCTTTCAAAAAACCCCATTATTTTTAATGAACAGAATATTAAATTATTACAACACTAGAGCTATACTAAAGCCAAAACCCACAAACAATAAGCAAACAACCCCAACTCCCCCCAAAAAGCTAAAAAAATTAATTTAAAAAAACCCTTAAAAATTCCAAAACAAACAAACAAAACCCAAACAAAAATCCCCCAGGTTGGTAAATTTTCAAAATGCTTCCCTCAGAAGACCTCTGCAAGTCTGGTATTCCTCAAGGCCCAATAATATTTCAGGCACAGAATAATAGGTCTGGTATTCCTCAAGGTCCAAGGTTTTCAACGACAGAGCACTGATGCCTTTTGGAGGCATTACAAATCGATTCCATTTACACTTACAGACAAGGAGAGCCTTCTGTATTGTGCAGGCCAAAACCTGGCACTAAATGCTCTTTTCCCTGAAACCCTTCTTATTGCTGAACCACTCAAATGGCTACAGGCTACTGTCACACATGTCAGAACCCATTTCCATTGCCAGCCCCCAATTCTGCTCCTAAGCAATACCAGGAAAATTTTCAAGATGACAGACGTGGATTGCTGGGGTTTTTTCGCATTGTAGAAGTGTGACCAGAGTAATAAATAAAATACTATTTACAGAGATCGATTCACTCAAGGAAAACAATATGAGCGCCAAAACACAAAATTTACTTGCTGATGGAAACAGTGGGGCTACTCGAAAAAGACTAAGTGTAATTAAGGAAAAACAAAAGAAAAACAAAACATCTCACAAGGGGTAAGAAATCTTAAGGATAAGGGAACAGACCAAAAGCATTTCCCACACATCTCCCCCCCTTCTCAGCTCCTCAGGGAATGGCTCTCACGTCCTCAGTAGCGAAGCAACCAAGCAGGAACCAGCATCAAAGAAAGGGAAGAAGGAGACGCCACCTACCTGTCCCAAAGGCTTTGGCCACCAGCCAGGCCAGATTACAGGCGATTTTCGCTCGGGAGAAATCATAATGGTCAAAGGGTTTGATGGCAGGAACAATGAAAGTCTTCCTCATCTCCTTGGCGTCTGCGGCATCCCCCATCTTCTCACAGGACCCCCGGCAATTGGGAACTTACATGGTTGTTTCTTCGTCCTCCTCCTCCTCCCACGGCCGGGAGAGCCGGCTGTAAATACGCCGACAGCAGCTGAGAGCAGCGCCCGACCCAGCTGTCCGTAAAGGGCTAACACCGCCTCCCGCCTTTCTCTGCACAGGAATGTAGCCGAGTCCGAGTGTCCTCTTCTTCCTCCTTCTCCTCCTCCTCGCTCTTTGTCTCAATTCACTCACGCCGCCGTCCCTCCGCCTCCGAAGAAATGCCCCCGGCGGCCCCGGCCCCGCGTTCCCTGGGGAGACCCCGCGGCCAGGGCTGGGCGCCCCAGGCGGCCGCCAGTGCCCCGGCCCGGGGCGGGAGCCGCCGGCAGGGCCCCCGCAGCCGCCGCAGGCCGGGACGCGGCCCTTCCCAGCGCCGGGATGTCAAAATGCCGGGGTCCGGCCCCAAAACGCCGCACGGCTCCGCACCACCCCAGCAGCTGCCACTGCGGGCCGGGAGCAGAGCCGGCTCCCCAACGCTGCCTGGCGGCCCCGGCGCCCCCCGGCCGGCCCCGCTGCCCGCGCCGCTCGGCGATGCCGCTGCGGTTCTCCACCCGCGGCTGCCGCACTGGATGGGCGAAGGCGGCTGCGCATGTGCCGCCAGCGCCTCCCCGCCCGGGCGGGGCGGGAGCCCGAGGGGCAGCGCCGGGGCGGGCCCGGGCCGCCCCCTCCCCACGGGGGCTGCGGGCGCCGCGTCAGGCGGGGTCGCTCGAGGTGGGTCCGGCCTGGGGTGGGGCGGCCTCGAGAGCGCGGACAGGCCCAGCCCAGTCCAGCCTTAGCCCGGCGGCAGCGGGAGGAGGAGGAGGCGGGGGGGAGCGTTTCCCGTGGTCAGGGGGCGCCGGCGGCGCTGGGAATGGCTGGGAAAGGGCGGTGTCCCTCGGCCGCGGGTCCACCCGCCCCGGCGTCGCCGCTCTCCACTGCGTGGCCGGACGGGCCCGCTGCGGTGTCGCCGGGGAAGGTCGGGATCAGCTCCGCGTGTCTCGTCTGTGAGGGGGCTGAGGAGCCGCCCGGATGCAGGGGAGCCCCGCCGGCCGGGGTCGCGGTGACCGGAGCACGGAGCGCTGCCGAGGAGGCGGGCTGAGCATCCCCCGCCCCGTGTATTTGTCACTCCAATTTTAAATCGGGTCTATATATAACTTTGAGAATACTCGGGTAAAAAAATGACAAAGCCTTTAAAATAGTTGAAGGCCTGGTCACGTAACCACTGTCATAGCAGCAAGAGTAGCGATTTGCGCTAGAGACCATCTCCTGTCTTGCTCACACGTACCTGGGCTGTTTTGGGGCGCTCACAGAACCCCTGTAACAGTGGCTGCGTGGAGGGAGCATTAGTCACGGGGGGAAGCAGCGACTGCGTGTTCATGACTCAGACAGGACTGGATGGGTTGGCGGCTTCCGAGTGCGGGGCTGAGGGTGCGGCCGTGCTGTGAGGGGAGCCCGGCGGAGGCTGTGCCTGCCTCGGCACGGGCACGGCGTGTGTCATCGGTGACCCGCGGCGCCACAGGGCGGGAATCGCCACGTCTGGGCAGCAAATAGTTATTGTAGCCTATTGTGGATATATTGTTATTGTATGTGTGTATATATGTGTATATCTACATGTATATATGTATATAAAAACCATATGTATGGTTTGGAGTAATGTCGAAGTCTGCCCTTCTTCCCCTAAAGAAGAATTAGACAAATTCTAAGCATGACATAGTAAGATTTCAAACAATATTCCGGCCAGACTGTTATTTCTTTGTGTTTCAGGTGGACTGTGAATTGATCTGCACAGATTTTTCCATTGCTGTGTGTCTGTGTGTGCTTCTAGCACTTCAGGTGCTCAGGGAGACAAACACCACGATTATGAGGCAAGAGTACTTCACAGTTTTACTGACATGTAGCCATATTAATTAGTAATGAGTAATGAAGAGGTTGTGGAGGTCAACATTTGAAGAAATTGTAGCTGAGTATTCCCCATACACTCTCTGGGATGGGATTCCCAAATTGTCATGCATACCACTCATAAGTGGTGCATGCCTAACTACAAAACCAGGAGCTGCTGTGAGCAGTACTCAGCAGAATGGAGGGGAGGAGGAAAGTTGAGAAATCCTTGCTTTAGCAGGCTAAGGACTGAAATTCCCAGATCCTCTGCATCAGAAATAGTATTAATAATGCCAAATTATTGTACACTTGGAAAATGTTCTCTGTTAAGAAAGACTATATGCTTAGTTTTCAACAATTAATATTTGCACATTTTCCTAAATTATTTTTTATGTGTACTCTGGAAATAAGTAACATTAGACACTTCCCATTATTTTAACTATTTCTTACACTGCCAATAGAAATTTTTTAAAAATTCTTCCTGCATATTTAATAACAAACACCTGAAATTCTTAAGCTTTAAAATGTCAAATGATTTGTGCTAAGAAGAAAAAAAAGAATTATGTTCCAGATCCAAATTAATTTGTTGTATGACTGAGAAAATACCTCAGAATTAGATCAGTCTGTAGGAAAATGTTTAGAAACACTGTAGGGCCATTATTTAGCTATAATGGAGTTTTTTGTGGGTGCAGCACTTGTGGTGATGAAACCTGTTCAGAGTTTCATCAGCAAGGTGGGGTAACTGCAATCAAAGTGGGGTTTCACTTGCTTAGTGCTCTTAAAAGAGAATGCATGAATATAAAATCTAATATAAGTGCAAAAGAAGACATTACCAGTTGCTGGAGTGCCTGCGCCAGTTCTTCTACTTTTGCAAACATGCCAAAATGCCATCTTGCTTATTGCATTGTCAAAGATATCAACAGCCAAAATGGAAAATGATTAAAAACTGCTCTAATTGCTCAGAGTAAATAAACAGGAAAACTGAATGAGGAGTCATCCCTTTCTGCTCTGATCCTGTTTATACATCTTGAAATATTTTAAATAGTGATACTTTCCTGTATGCAAGCTTTCTGCTGCACAGTGTTCTATACTTTAGTGTTAATTCCGAGCAGAAAGGCAAAGTATTAAAACAAGCATTTCACAGATTTTTATTTTTTACCTTCTTTCTCCCTTCCTTTTGCCTCCCTCTACCCCAAATTAGAATCCCTTTTGACTCGTTTTAGCCTGTGATTACATCATAAGCCTGATTGTTCACTGTCATGTGTCTGGCCATTTTCACAGTGGGTGTACCAAGCCTGTAGTGAGCATCAGGCAAAGGAACCAATATGACCATGAAGCTGTGAATAATGGTGTGGATGGAAGTTCTAGTAGTTCTAACCTTTGGATAGATAGTGGAACGAGTCCTGACTAACAATTTCATACATTTTTTCCACTTGTTTTAAGATTCACTTAGCTTCTCAAGAGGCTATGTGTAGAATAGAGCCTGTAGGCTAATTTCAGGCCAGCACTAGAGTACTGAAGTTATACTGAACACTGAGTTATTCCAGTGTTCAATCTGGAATAACATTTCATGCATAGTTTCTTCCTTTGCAGCACTTGATGATAAAGGCAAAGTAAAATGTGTTAAGTTAGAAATACCTTGGCTGGTTTTGCAGAGGCACTGTCTGTAGCCAGACTGGGTGCTAGTGAACAGCCAGTTTATCAGGCTACCTATGGAGGATAGCAAAAGCATTCCCACTTCAGTTTAGCTATATTAGGGCAAATCCGCAAACACAGCAGTTCACAGTAACTATTCTGCTGAGTAATGCTTCACTTTTGAGGTTGGAATCACACTTGGAATAACACTGTGGGCATATTATCTTTAATTGCTGTTATCAAATTTGCCTAATTAAGATGATCCCATCTGTTTTCCTGAGCTTAGAGGGTATCAGTCATGATAAAGTGGTTTGGCTGAGGGGAGGGGTGCACCCTGTGGCCTGTAACCTCTGCAGGGAGGCTGCATGCATGACTTGATGTGGTGCTGTCAGTGTACAAACCAAGAACCAGTCATGTCCCAGTGGGATCCCTGAGGAATGTGCTTGTTGACTTCAGCAGGTTTTGTGTTACATATATGAAGTTAAACAGGTAATCTATAAATCATTGTGTGAGATTATTACAGCCAAAGGATGACTTATGAAATTGAACCATTGATATTCCAGGCTCTTTATTAAATCTATTTCTTTGTAGGTAGTGGTAAAACTGTAAGAGTTAAGAAATTTTATTTTTACATAGCAATCCAGTGGCTATAAGCAATCTAGGAGACTCCTGGAGTGTGTAGAGACATTTTCCTGGTCCAGGCATTACAGAAGAGAAGGATTATGGGTGCTGGTGCTTACCAATGCAGATGAGCTCATTAGAGGGGCCAAGATTGGTGAAAGCCTGGACTGCAGTGACCACTCCCTGGTGGAGATTGTGAGGATTGTGAGCCTGGCAAGGAGCTAAATTGGGACCCCAAACTTTGAAGGAACAGACTTCCAGTTGTTTAGGAGTTGGTGAATAAGATTCCCTGGAAAACTGTCCTTAGGGATAGAGAAGCTGACCAGAGCTGGCCGCTCTTAAAAATATTTTTCTTAAAACCAGGTGATCTTTAAGGTCCCATCCAACCCAGGCTATTCTGTGATAATTAACTGAATGATTAGCTGAATGATTAAAGTGCTTTGCCATTATTACTAACATGCATATATGTAGTTTCTGCAAGCTAGGAGTTTTCTCAGAGCATATTTTGGAAGGGAATGTGCTCTTCCTGTTTCAGGATGATACAAAAGTACAAGAACAGTTACATAATTACTGTCTTTCAAATTCTTCTATTATTTTGTGATCAGAAAGTGCTGAGGGAAGAAAACAGTTTACTAACTTTATACATTACAGTAGTCATGAGCCAAAGGGAAAATGAAGGTTTGTATGACATTTTACTTGAATCATCTGTGATTTTTGATACAATTAAATCTAAAAGAAGGAAAATTGGAGTAATAGCTACTTTAGCACAATGCTGCTACTGAAATCTGCACAACGAAAAAGCTGCTCAATGAAAATCAGGTGTGGTACCCAACAGTCACTTCTCTTATTACTTGGACACTACTGGTTTCATTTCCTCAACCTGACTTTGACCTAATGTAGCTCTGCAAAACCTCTGATCTCCCTCAGCACTCAGGACTGCTTGGTTTCTTTTGTCTTTTTCTCTATTTACTTTGGTGTCTTCTTTTATGAGATTTTAAATTTTGCTTCTGATTTTTAAAATCTGATTTCCAGATTTCCACTGGCTTCTTTTGTGTTCTTCCCATCTGGTGGAACTGCTCTTGTTCTAGGGGGTTTTACATGAGCTGTCTTCCCACATATGCCGTGCAATTCTCCCTAATTCCAGGGCTTTCTTCTTCTTGACATTCCACCACTGCCAGGTTGTCTGTGATGAAAAAAATACCCTGCTATAACTTGTACTTTTTTACTATAAATTTTAAAACATATGGAAAAGATCCTACCCTCTTCATTAAGTGAAAGATCGGCACTATATCTTTATGACCACCTACTGCCTGGCCTGTTTTCTATGGAAAATTCTGAGGGTAATTTTTAATGAATAGAATCTTTAAATGGCTTGGCTGCACTGTAAAATAGATGTATGGTGGGAAACTTGCATTCAGAAAAATACTTTGTACAAAAATAAAGCACTATGTTATTGTTGTTGTTAGGTAATGCTTTATTTGCATCCCAGTGTAGAGGAAAATGGACATGACTAGTTTTCAAACTGTACATTCAGGTAAAAGAAGTTTAAATCAGTAACACTTTTTCACCAAGTCTGAATGAGAGTGAATACAAAATTGTGCACTTCTTCATGCTGTGACTGGCTTTTTGTGTGCTGCTTCTACATGTGAAGAAAGATCTGAAC